TGGCTCCATGGTAGAGCCCTTGCCTAGCATGTGTGAGGCACTGGGTTTGATTCTCAGCACTGCATATAAATAAATAAAATAAAGGTCTATTGACAACTAAAATAAAAGAATAAAAAAATTATTGGGGCTGGGGATGTGGCTCAAGCGGTAACACGCTCGCCTGGTATGCGTGCGACCCAGGTTCGATCCTCAGCACCACATACCAACAAAGATGTTGTGTCCGCTGAGAACTGAAAAATAAATATTAAAAAAATTATTATTAACAATGCTATAATGAATGTTTTGTGTGGCCAAATCCTTTTGGACGTTCATGGTTATATTTAAAGATGCTTTTCTGTAAATGAAACTGCTAACTCAAAGGGGATATGCATTCAAAACTTTGAAATTGCCAAACTTTACTGGAGTGTGTGAGAATTCCCATTTCCTAATGACCCATGCTGTGTTCATCACTCTTCTTCATCTTTCAGTCTGAGGAAAGAATTTTATCTCCTGATTATTTTCAGCTGTATTTTTAATTACTGATGTTTTATATATTTTTTTAAGTTGCCCACTTTTCTTTCTCTTATTGAATAGAAAATAACCCTTAATGTTAAGGGGAAAAAAAGATGATAGAAACAGTAGATCCTGCCAAAGGCTAAAGGCAGAAACTAAACTGATGCTTGTGAGAAAAAGTTAAATTGTTTACACAGTAGTATGTCTGTTTCTCTCCCTTTGCCAAATGGCTTGGCTCTTTTTCTTAACTTTGACAAATGCAATTACAGACCCAATTGGTAGAAAAATAAATTCTGGGTTTCCTGTTTAGAGGAAAAAGATCTATTGCATTTCACTTCCATTCTTCCCAATGTTTTACTGAAATAATAGGAAAGATGTTCAAAATAAGAATGAAATGGCAATGCTAGAAGAGTAACACATTTTGAGGAATTCTTCAAAAGACAAGCAGATATGATTGAACTCTTGAAAAAGTCACGATAGTGGAATGACAGTCAAACCTACCAAAGATTAATGTGGCTCTTCCTAGCGTGCAGATTGGCTTAGCATACACAGCATTAGGGAACTATGGAGTATATGTCAGGATAACTAAATAGAGAATGCATCTATTAGTCTGCCATCCCACTCCTATCTCCATATGTATGCAGAGGGGATGACTCTCAGATCAAGTGCTCTCTGTGGAAAAGAGGTGTTTTTTTGGTGAGTACTCCTAATGTGGTTGTGGTTTCTGAGGGAGAAACGGATGGAGGGAAACAATTTTAAGGCCATTCCACTCACTATACATACATACAGAGACAGTCATACCAGCTGTTTTGGTGAGACAATGCAAGAATGTTCGAAAGTTGCGAAATGATTTGATTATGAGAGTTGTAACCTACTCAGAGATTAACCCACTAATGGATTAAGTGGATGGTAACTGCAGGGTGTGATTGGAGGAAGTAGGGCACTGGGGGTATCACTTTGGGGTTTATATTTTGTTCCAGTGAGTGGCATGCTCTCTCTGGTTTCCTGGATGTCATGAACTGAGCAGCTTTCCTGCACCCCACCCTTCTGATATGATGTTCTCCCTCACCTGGGCCCAGAGCTATACAGATGGCCAACGGTGAACTGAACCTCTGAAACTGTGAGCCAAAATAAACTTTTCTTCCTCTATGTTGTTCTTGTCAGTTCCTTTGGTCACAGTGACACAAAGTTGACTAAAATGCCAGCCAAGAAAAATTCATTTAATTTTTTAATGTGTCCCCAGCTGACACACTACTCCCTCCTGTCACACTACTGGGCATCTGCTGCCATAACTCCAACTCTACACAGAACACCAAAGCTGCCCTTCTTATTCCTGTTAGAGAACCCACTTTTGATAACGCTTTCATATTTTCTTCATAGTAGTTGTTCCATAGATAACAAATATGCCCTCTGGGTAAAATATAAAATACAACTAGTGGAAGGCACTTGGGAGCAATCAAAATTGGATACTGGAGGAAGTCCACATTTGGAAAAAGGAAATAACACTGTTTTATTTTTTTATGTCCTGAGCGTGAGGGCAGGCTCTAGTCTTGGCCATGCAGAGGCAGAGGGTAGGTGGATAGCTAAAATCTAGATAAAATAATTTTATAATATTGCTTGATAGAAATAACAGAGGACAGAGTTTGGGTATCCATAGTCTCTGATAGTGAGAAGGAAATCCTCAACAACTGAAATCCCAAGAAGGAAAACCCCAAACTCTGTATATAAACTCTGCCCCAACATTCTGTGACTGAATATAAGGAGAACTAACCAAGAGAATGAAGGCTAAAAAAAAACACTGAAGTGAGTTTGAACTACTGCTTATCACTGGGGAGAGTCTTCAGACATTTTAACTGGCTTCTTAAAAAAAATAATAACTTTGTTGGAGAGACACAATAGACCCCAGTCTCCATACCATATCATCCACAATGTCTAAAACACAACCCAGACTTTCTCTACATAAAAAGAAACAGAAAAAATAACCTACATCCTGTTCAGAAAAGCCAATCAATGAGGATTGGGCTAAAATGACTAAGATGTTGCAATTAGCACATGAGGATTTTAAACCAGTTATTGAAGAAGACATTTGTTACAGAAATACACATACATGACTTAAAAGAAAACTAATACCAACCATCTCAATTAATCCTTGAAGCTCTTCGTTTCACAAGAACTCAAGAAAAATCTAGAGCATGAAAGAGAAAGTCCAAGATTAATAAACTCATGCAAATGTGCTTAGAGGAAAAATAATTTAGGAAGTAGAAGAGAATTTGAAAAATATTTTTAGTATCCTTAAAGATATTCAAGAGGAGATTGTATTAATAAAATAACACCAAGACACTATTGAAAAGGAATAATTAGTGAATAGTAAGAATTTATTGGAAATAAAAAAATAATAAAGTAAAAATACTTTATTATTTTTTTTATTTCCAATAAATTGATGTTGGGGAAAGTAAAATTTCCTAGCATGTAAAGAAATCAAATAAAAAGGTAGGAAATATGAGAGAAAAGTTGAGGTATGGAGGATAGTTCCAGGAAATTGAAGTTTCAGAACATAATCTCCCTGAGTTGAGGAGAAGCAAACATTTTTAGGTTGAAAGGACACATGTAAGCCATATAAAATTAAACAGAGAACTTACAAACACTCAATACCCATGTATTATGGTTTGGATGTGAGGGGTCCCCCAAAAAACTCACGTGTG